TGGTGGATGGTCTGCATAATTAGAGATGAGGTCTTTCTTTCCATCCTCTTGGTGATTAATGACCACCTCATGGTTCCCCTTCCCCCCCTCCCTTACCAAAACGTCCTCCTGCCTTCCTCTAGATACCAGGCGAGAGCCCCATTTTGAGAAAGAGAAAGACGAATGCCTGGAAAAGAAGAATGATCATAAAGCCAGAGAAAATAACGTTTCCAGATGTTCTCTCACTGTCGTGAAACCCGCCGGCTGTACCGCCATGGTCTTCTCCCTCTTGCACCAGTGCTATCCCATCCTGCATTGCAGCCGCATGACGCATGCTTTTGGGCGGACCCGGCAGCTACAGTGCGCAGTGCGTGTCGGGAGCGCAGGGCATTGCAGAGATGCTGGGGGGGGAGAGAGAGAAAAATCACGCCCCGTCCCCTTGCGTCTGCGGAATGGGAGATGTGGCGATGGCGGCGGAGTCCGGGAGTCGGAGCAAAAAAAATGGTCAGATGACGAGGTTGTCCAGTTTTGACGGCGTTATGTTTCAAGCCTTAAAAAAAAAAAAAAGGCATTCATTGCTAGCTCCTGTGTGCTAAGGAGATGAACTGTTATTCTTAACATCAACAGTACAATAACCTGAGCGAGCAACCCGCCAGATTTGCAGACAGCTATTAAAACATAGCATAACCACATTAAAGAGCCAGATACTTAAGATACAACAGGTCAATTCAGGCATTCGGTATTTTCCTGGGTCAGTGGTATTACCCCAGGAAAAGCCTGATTTCATATTTCCGTTTAATATCTTCAGGACAGGCATGATTGTGTACTTAACAATGTTTTGCCTAAGTAAACAAAAAAATCAGAAAACGTTGAAATGATACTTTTAGCAAAACTCCATGAAATGGAGTATTTTTGAAAGAGCATTTCTTGCATGAGCTGATGTATTATAAGGCAATTCAGAAGGGGAGCCCCCATAGTTTTAGTGCAGTGGAACAGCAGAAATGCTGTTTGTCTCAGACAGAGCACTGAATACCTCTGGTCTCTTTTATGTGCCAGTACTGCATCCAGAAGGCCACCTTGAGACGTTTTGAGTCTTTCCCAGTTACGCATTTATGAGAGAACAATTTGAAATGAGGCCGGAGTTTGGCCGATTGGTGGACTGCTCAAAGAATTTGTCACTTTACTTTGTGGTTCGAGCCTCGGAGCTGCATCAGCACGCGAAGGCTGCAAAGGAACAGGTAAAGGTTTCTTCCCCCGCTGAAAAGAGCAGAAAAGAAACGGTGCGTTTCGGCTGTGGAGTCTTCTATGGCCTCACCCAAGGGAGGCTCCACAGCTGAATTGTTTCCGTCTGTGCTCTGCTGACTCTTCTGTAAGGCTGCCTTCATGCGATGAGAAAGGAGAAGCAGCCAGTTGGCCCATCTTGCTAGTTGGGTGGCTAGAGGCTCGACAGTCCAAGAGTCCCATCATTACAGTGCTTCTTAGCCTGGTACACAGGTCAGAGGTTGTCCAGTTTTGACGGCGTTATGTTTCAAGCCTTAAAAGAAAAGGGCATTAATTGTCTCAATACTTCATATTGTCTCAATACTTTATTTGTCATTCTACTTACACAGGTGCATAGTATAGTGAAAAGGGTTTCTCATTAGTCACCCAGGTGCAGTATATAAATAGAACAGAAGATAAGACAATAGACAATAACATAATAACAATGAGAGTGTCATAACAGATCATCAAAACTGTGCGAATACGCAAACAGAGAAAGAATACAACAGGACAAAAACAGTGCAAAAGTAACTAATACAGTTTTAAGTACAATTCGGCTTACATTCAGTTGTCATGTGTGTAGTGGTGTAGGAGTACAGTCGTTGTGGGTACAGGAAGAAGTGAGGAGAGATCATAGTATGATGGGAGGGAGTGGGGGCGTCACCAGCTTGACGGCTCTGGGGAAGAAGCTATTTTGGAGTCTAGTTAATTAATTAATTGCTAGCTGCTGTGTGCTAAGGAGATGTACTGTTATTCTCAACTTCAGTAACCTGAGCAAGCAACCCACCAGAGTTGCGGACAGCTTTTAAAACATAACGTAACCACATAAAGAGCCAGATACTTAAGATACAACAGGCCAATTCAAGCATTCTGTGTTTTCAGTGGAATCACCCCAGGAAAAGCCTGATTTCGTATTTCCTTTTAATATCCTCAGGCCAGGCACACAGGTGTACCTGAGCAGTAGTAGCTGTGCAGCTATCCAGTGCACTGCTCATCTAGAACTGCCTAGGCTCCACCCCCTGCCCCGCCCCCTCCCTCCAGAGAGAGACCACTGTACCCCTGGGAATCCCCTGTGTCCGGATTACCAGGACGGATTATCAGTGCTGTGCGCCTGAGCGCCGTCATCAGTTCCGCCCGTCCGTGTGACATTCCCAGACCCCGAGCTGGGATTCGGAATGGGCTACCCCCCCGTAATGCGATCGCTTCCTAAATTGTTTTGGGTTTTTTTTTTTATACTGTTGTGTTTGACCACGAAGGTCAGTTGTAAGGTATAGGGTGGGGGGGAGGGAGGGAATATCTCCGAGACATCCCTTTTTTTAACGTAGTTGCTTCTAACCCGCAAAAATAAAACCTTCTTAATTGTAAATTAGCTGCCGAAAGAAGTAGTGCAAATTTTAGATTAAAAAAGTGACGCGTTGTCCTGTCAGATGCCACGCTTCTTACATTTAGAAATGTGTATTGGAGGCTAGTTCTATTATACTTGATTCTAGCCGCCTTATTCTACATTTAATTTGGCAACACAAGAACATAAGAAATTATTGGACAAAAGGGGAGGTCTTTTTGGTCTATCTAACATGTTTTAATGCTAATAGGTAATGGGTCCAAGGATCTGACCCAGGCATTTCTTAAAGCCAGGGTGCAGGCTTCAATAACATTGAAGGCTAAAAAGATTCACTTTTTTTTTCCATCCCGCCAGTGAACGGCATTCCTAAAATCCCAGGCACGCACCTGGTCGAACTTCTCCAGGCCTGCGCCAGAGAAGACGTGTCTCAGTCCGGCACGCATGAAAAGTGAAGCAGGAAGACCGAACTGAGAAACGAGGCACAGACCCAATTGAGAACTACTCTGACCGAGGGCAGCCGATGATGGCCGTGGCCCTGGTGTTAACCTTTATTGATCTCCCATATGTGGAAATCCTTTTAGCTCACTTTCTCCTGCTCTTGTGCACGGCCACCACATGGTAACAAGACTATGAATGTCTCTCCATTGGAAAGTAGGGGGAGGGACGATGAGCACATTTGGAATGCTGTGTTTTTTTTTTCTGTCTGACTTGCTCAATGAAAATAAAAGGGTCCACAAGCAGATGCAACAGTATAAGACCTGTATAAGAAGGTCTCATAACCTTTGATAAAGACATATAGTTCCAAGTTCGCTTTAGTGATTCAGTCTTAGTCATTCAGTGCTAGTTTTTCAACTCAGACTGAATCAGCTGCTCACAATGCGTTGTGGCGTATGTGCTGTGACCCTACCTGATGATGCTCTGGTCTTTCTTGTTTAACTCCCCTCCTCGAAGCCATTGTTCTGCAGACGTCTTAGGAGTGTAGGAAAGGTTCTGAAATGAGCGGAGGTGAGGAGGACATTTGACTCATCGTGCTCGTTTGGTTACTAGTAGCTTGTTGTCCTAAAGATCTCAGCCCAGTGCTTCTTGCATGCAGCTTGTCCGAGCAGTCCAGTGGTTCTTTCAGGCTTTTGGACACCTGTATCAAGTCCTCTGTGTAATCTTCTTCATACAAGGCTGAATCTGTGAATGATTTTTTTGTGATTGCCCTATGTTGATTTTTTTTTTTCTTGAGCGGCCAGTATCCTTTTTTTTATTTTTTATATGTCCACCAAGATTGTTGGCCGTCTCGTAAACGAGGCTCCTCGAGATCATCAGCCGATGGGGACCTATGGGAGGATAAAGGTGTCTGTAATTGGCTATCTGTCAGGTCATGCCGAGCTCAGGCAGAAAGAAGACGGGAAGAGACAGGTTCCTGCGGAGCCCGGAACGGAGGACTCAGGGTTAACAACATTATTAGGTGAGATAACAAGAAGGACTTTGAACTTGCACAGCTGTGGGAAATACACCCCCGGAGCTTGAATAGTCCCTGTTCTGTATTGGGATTTCCGCCAACAGCGAGTACTTATACAGTGTAGTACTGTATTTATTTTCCTGCAGTTGTGCTCATAGATTTTTTGTTTTCTGCGACAGCTCAATCCTTGTTTTCTGGAATTAGGATGACATTAAACACGGCAGCGTAATGTAGGATTTGTCTTAGCTATATGTAGGGGACGAATAGGTGCTGGGTGGCTGACTGTCAATTTAGGGATAATGAAAAGCAAATGGCACTCCCCAGGAACTGCTGTCCGTAGTGAGGGTTTAAGATAAGATCAGATCACTTTATTGGGCAGATACATTTTTTTGCATTAGGAATCTGTCTTTACCGCAGACCCGAGCTTGCTCTCCATGAGACACACAGACAGGGAGAGAAGCTGGGGGTCAGAGCGCAGGGTCGGCCATTTATACGGCACCCCTGGAGCAGCTGGGGTGAAGGGCCTTGCTCAGGGGCCCAACGGAGTAGGATTCCTCCGCCGGCCGCGGGATTTGAACCAGCAACCTCCCAGCCACAGGCGCAGATCCTGAGCCACAGAGCCCCCTCTCCGCTCACGCCCAACGGCCTATCGCTCAGCTCCTTGTATTTGCGCACCCCAGGAATCGAAACGGTGGGCGCTAGCTGGCGCTTTGCTGGGAACTCCTGTAAGTTAAAAGAGGAGGTAGATGCTGGGGACGACTGTAAGTCGCTAAACGGCAGAGGTCAGGACGACACCAATGACGGCTGTAAAACTCTTTGCCACTTTGCTCTTTCTCAGCATTGCACGGGCCGTGCACAGAGGACGAGACATCTGTCAGAAGTCAAAATGGACACAGCGCCGTGTTATCAAAGCATTCAT